AGGTAGAAAATATTTACCCTTAAATATATTATAGAATATTATTTGGTGGGTTGAATTATGTTTAATAATTAATCAGATATATTTTTTCTTGAAAAAATTAAGAATCGAAACAAGAGTGATTACCATTTTTTGGATATAAGTCATGTAATGTTGTTTGGATCTTCAAAAAAATATACTTTGATATATATTTATGATGTCTGAGATGATGGTGTAGAAATAAGTAATAGATGGTTTGAGAAGATAATTTAGAAATATTATAAATGAGCTAAAGGATTAAACTTTAGAAAATAATATAACTTAATAATTATCAAAGATTAATCATTAATCATAATATAATTACATTAGAAGAACATTTGTTTCAATATTGTTTAATAATATTACTTAAATAATTTCGACTTTTTGTATTGAAATAGTTAATACTAATTCTTTTTCAGATTACACAGTATCAATAAATAATACACTGTAGATTATAATGTTACTTGAATTTTGGCAATCATTCGAAAAGATAATTTAACCATCATTAGAATAATTGTTTCTAACTTAGCCTTCAATTTTAATCTTTTCCTAACATTTCAAATAAATTTAAAAAGAGATAGTTGAAATACTTTTATCTATTATTATTATCTTTTCTCCAACCTCTGTGATAAATTGATTTAATTCCTCTATATACAATTAAAATGAATCCGCTATATTTAATTTTAACCCTTAATTTTATTAGATTCTAAAATTAGCATATTCTAATGGAAGAGCTGTTTAATCAATATGATATACATACCAGGAATACATTTACCATTCAAAAATCCCCATTTTTTTTTACAATTACTACATTCAGTTTCTAATTCGCCATTGCAGTCTTCGCAACCTAATGAACATTTAGCAATGTATAAGTCAAATGATGAAACACCCCAAAATGCACTATTTTGAGAGTGATCCTCTGTTTTCAATTCTAATTTTATCTGAGGGGATGAATGTAATGCATTTATGACTATATTATTTATATTTACTAATAGATAATTAACACAATTTAAACTAATTTAGGAATATGTTTGAATTAGAGTTTATGAATCTTGCTCATCAATTTTAATAATAAAATTTTACTCGTTCCAATCACCTAATGCCCAAAGTTTAAGTACAACCTATGCTTTAAAGTGTTTTGGAACATTTTCAATCAATTTGTTGATATACTACCCTTATCTCAGAAGATTAGTTCCTCCTACAATCTGAATATTAGCACATAAACTTGAGGAGAGATTTTCATTGTTATCAATTAGCCATCCTTCTGAATCAAAATTAGTTTGCCAATATGATGCAATGCTATACCATAATTTGCAATTAGATGAATAATCATAACAAAAGAAGCAATCTTCAGGACATTCCAAAATTTCAATTAGAAATTAGTTAACTCCCCATGATTCCTAGAATTAAAAAATTTATACGTTAGAAGGATCCTCATCTAAACTTGAAGTCATAATTACAACGAAGGATTCCGAATAATGTGGTTCTAATGTAAAACTTAAGGGAACTTATAGATCTTTGTACTTTCCTCCATTACCACAAAGACCGCCTCCTTCACCAGTCCAAAAATTTCTCTTATATGCCTGATTGTCATATATTAATTAGAACATTTCACCATCCCAACTGTCAACTCTAATATATATAGCTTATTTTATACTTCCAAAATGTGAGAGAAATTCTCACTGAGTAATGTGGCGGAAGTTTAAGATTTAAAGAAATCCAGGTAGACTTACCAAAGATTGAATAACCTCCTAGTATATTTGACCCATAACAATCACTAAATGGGCCACCATTTGAATTAACAATATTCCAATCTAATTGTTAAATATTAAAGTACTATCAGTCTCGTTTAAGCCAGGCAATATAGAATAAACTGTTCTCCATGTATTTTGTGTTTATGCAAAAAAAAAAGGTAGAAATGTCAGATAGAAAATTAACTCCATTTATTTTGATTTAATGTATCAATAAAATAATTATTTTGATTATTAGATTAAATTAAACTTAAGAATGCACGGGTATTTATAAGTTATTTATAGTACCTTGAATTCACTTAAATATTATTAACATACTAATTTTTTGATTTATGTATTCCATTTTTCTGGATTAAAGCTATATCCTTTAGTATTAGGTATTTTATAATTGCTATAAATATTTCTATCATCACTAGATTGAATTTCCTATATGTATATGTAGTAATTGTTGAAATAATTTTAGTTATTCTCATCAATTTGTTTAACAAAGTTTCTAAAAGAGTAATGGTTAAGATAACTCATATTGTTTGAAATAACACATATATTGAATACTCATAACATAAATTAGCAACACAATATTATGATTATTATTGATAGTATAGAAGCAAAGTTAAATATTTAAGTAATTTTTGATTAATCAAATAATATTTGATATTTTCCAATAGAGTCTATGTATTATACTGAAAGATTAATTTGGAAAATTGAGTTTTATTTCATAGATTTTTGGATTTACTAAATATACATTTAATTGAAATAATATCAAACAAAGATGCAATAATATAGATCTACAAGTTCTAACAAAATGATAGAAAAAAATATATAATCAATTAGGAAAGATCCTTAATTTTCTTAGTTAGTTTAGGCGTTAATTGAGCGAAATTTTCGATCAGATTATTTGAATTTCAGTACTGGCTAATTTCCCTTAATTTCAGTTTTGCTTTTTGTATTTTATGTTGAGTTTTTCTTTTTTGATTGTACGTCTCGTTTCTCTTATTTTATCTCCATTTTATATGACCTTTTTTCTAAATTCATGTTTGATCCAAAAAATATTTTGCAATTATTGAGGAAATGATTAATATAGAAGATTTTATAAAAAGCGACTGTAGTTCCAAAAATAATAAGGGTAAGTCATTATAGCTAAAATAGCAATTTTATTTGGATATTGATGGAGGATGAGTTGCTCAGTAATAAAAATAATAATGATGTTAAATTGTCATTTTTATTTGGGTTTGGGGTTGGGGTTGGGGTTGGGGTTGGGGTTGGGGTTGGGTTTGGGGTTTGGATTTGGGTTTGGGTTTGGGTTTGGGGTTGGGGTTGG